CATGCAATGACTACCCACCTTAAGAATTAATTTTTGTATTTTTCGATACTAAATGTTGTATGGTCAGACGGCTACCCCATAAAATTAAATTATAAGTTTAGTCATTTAAATGTTAAAGTATATCTTATATATTCCTAAACGATATACTTTAACATTTAAAAAGTATCTAATATATTCTTAAACTTTTAATTTTATGTATTTAAAAGATCCCAAGCTTTTTTAAAAGTGTCAAATAAGTAACTTTCAATTTTGTGTAATAAGCATCCTTGACATATTCAAAAATTTTTAAATTTACGGTTTTACTATACGTAAAATTGAATTTTATGTCTACTAAGACTCTAAATAACGTTAACGTTAAATTTTGGATCTAATAGATCTGTGAATATTAAAAAAATGTAATTAAATAGATAAAAGGTGCATTAGAAACAAATCAAAAGTTGAGAGACATATTGATACATAAAATTAAAATTTTCTATTGGAAAGCTTAGATTGAAGGTGAATTAATCCTAATTATGAAGTTTTTATCAAAGATATATATAGTGTATAATTCATGAAATTGAAATGATCACGCCCACGAGTGTACATATATCTTTTTTCATACAAGATGTGGAGTGGAGTAATTTAAATTCACGACTGTCTAACTAAACATTTGATATCTTAATTCGTTGAGGTTAGGTTGAAGTTGTGAATGAGTACTCAAATTTCATCTATGATTGATTACTTAATTCCTTGATTCACTGTACTTCCATTTGAACTTCACTCCCAACGTGGAGTGGATGCTTGGAATGCTTTTATTATTGATCTTGACTACATGTGTCAATACTTGGAATGCTTTTATTATTGATCTTGACTGCTTTTAAATTTGACTACTCTCTTTTTTTACTTTGAATGCACAACTTTTCTCCCTTCCTCCTTAAACCTAAAATATTAAGACTTTTTATAAAAAATAAAATCCACTAGGTATTTATAGAGTGATTGTGGGAGGGTGATACTCTTGGTCAATTGATTGATCGAGAAAATTGATGTTTTGAGATACATAAAAGTGATTTTGAGAAAAATGAAAGGGTGCGTTTAAGAGTCGGTAGAATCAGTGATTTTAAAAAAAGAGATTCAAGTATAATTGATTTTTCAAAATCACAGTTCAAGTTATATCTTAAAAATAAATTTAAAGCGATTTTAAACTTTTCTAAAATCAATTTTTTTTTATTTTGCCAAACATAATCAATTGAAAGTGAAGTAATTTTAACAATGACAAAAGTGATTTTTACAAAACACACCCAAAATCTCATTTGTATTGTTGAGTGGGAGGGTGATTCTTGGTCAAGTGATTGACGAAGAATTGGGCTTGATTTCATACCACATCACTTATGATTATATCATTTTTGTTAAAATTAATTTTACTCAAATCACTCCCAAACATGGTACGTAGTATTACATGTTTCATATGCTTGAAACAATAGAGTTATGTTTAACAAAACAAATATTAATTAACCCAATGAAGAGTCCTTCTAACACCCTTTGACTAATCTTCACCCAAAGTTTATAATAAAAGATCATTAAAAAAATCCATCTCTCACAATTAAACTAAGAACGTCTTATCAAAGGAAGAGCATAAATTTGTCTAGAAAGAGGTGAAATGTTAAGATATAACTTTCTATGTACATAATTTTTTAATTATCAAATTTTTAGAGTCAAAGCGAGTATAGTTCAGCGGCAATTGATATATGAAAAAGAGTATGGTCTTTATTGTGTCGAGACGTCTGCAATATATGTCGGGAAGGTCTCCGTTGATTGTGTATCTCAAAAGTCAATTTAATTATGAAATTAGGAAATACTATTTTAAGGATATATAAAATAAAGACAAAATATACACTGTAGCAACTTGGAGAGTAAGAATAAAGTACTATAGCAATTTGGGAGTGGAATAATGCTTACTATTGCAATCTGGAGAGTGGAATAGTATTTACCGTAGCAAATCTAAAGGGTGGAATAGTATTTACTGTAGCAACTTGGGTTTGTCGTAGCTACTTGAGTTTATAAAACTGAGAAACAAAGGAAGATTTGTCTTAACAAATCCTACTCGTCGTTTTGAAAACGGGGAACCAAACACCCGTTGAGATTTTTTTATATTTAATTTTGAAGTTACCATAAATTGGGAGGTCGTCCTTCTAAGTTATGCCTTTTCATCCAACCTTAGAGTTGCCTGTTACAAGAGTTCTCAAATCTCTTAGATCTTGTCGAGCTCAAAAAAAGAGAGAAAAAAAAATCTTGTCTAAACTTTTTTTTTTTTTTTCACTTCTCCGAACTTAATTATTTAACCAAACTTTTCTATATTAATTGTGGGAGTTGTTTTTATTAAACCATATTTTTTTTCTTCCAATTTTCAACTTCAGATATTTTAATAACAAAAACTTTGTATATTCACATCTGTTTTAGTCCACCATATTTATTTGCCTTTCCCCCAACATGTTTCATGCTTTATCCTAGAACCTATCAAACAACGTATTTTAGTACTAAAAAAATGTAGAAAGTGTTTATATAATTTATTCACAATGAACTTTGAAATTAGCACCCACAAAGGATATATATAATATTGATTTTTTAAATGTAGTTTTTGGGGGTTGACATTCATCATATGTAGAGGGAAACTGGTTTCGTGTTTTTTATTTTTTATTTTTCTTTTCATCATTGCAAGTACGAGGCTTTCTATCCATCCATCTAGATGTATCTCAATTAGTTTAAAAACTATATCTAACTAAAAGATTGTGAATTTAAATTTTTACTCTATATGTTATACTAAAAAACGTAGATTTTCGAAATTACAACTCTCTAAGGAGAGTACAAATATCTTAATCATGAAATTATGTTTAAGCTTATCTTTTTTTACTCATTTGAATGACTAGTTTTATTTGATGGAAAGAATATGCTTTAATTGATTAATATTTAGAATATAAATATATGAGAATACTAATATTATTTATGTTTCAATATAAAGGAGAAATAAGAAATAAAAGGTTGATTTCTTATTTTTAGATTCACCTAATAAAAAATATTTGTTTAACACATTCGTTTTTAAAGTTTGTTTTAGGATTACGTGATTCTATTAGAAATTTTTAAGTGTTTTCAAATCTTAAATTTGAAAATTTAAAAGATATAATTATATTAAAAAGATAAAAACTTTTTATTAAAATATAATATATTATAAATTATATACTAATTACACTAAATGTGTAATAGGTTAATAAATTAATTAATAATATTTTAGATGAAACTAAATACTTAGTTGGTCTATAAATATATTACTAAATACACCTTGAAATTTTTAATATACCTTAAATTATTTGTTAAACAGAGATTCAATTTTCAAATCTGCTATCAAACATATATACGAAAATACTAAAAAACATCGAATACAATTATGTCTTTCATTAAATTCCTTGTTTTAATATTTATGTTTTCAAATCACCAACTAAATACACCTGAGACATTTTGCTATTGTATTAAATAAGTGTAATCATTTGTGTTTTTTGGCCTTTTGTTTTTAAAAGCTATATTTGTTTTTCTTTTTTCGTTAAAAGAAAGCACTTCTCTTTTTAAAAGTATTTTAAAATCTTGACCAAATTTTAAAAGCCAAAGAAGGATTTTTGAAAACTATATTTTAATTTTTTTATTTTTAAATTTGGTTTGCGTTTTAAAAGCATGTAATGAAACCAACCATAATTGCCGAGACACCAGCCTAGTTAGAAAGTTTATTTTCAATGATTTATTTAAATTACATTTAATAGATAAATAAATTTCAAAGGTTACCACACATATTTAAACTAAAATTCAATTAAGTGAAAATTTTAATTTTTACTTTCGAATTCAACACGCTTAATTATTTTTTAAGCTACTGTTACAATTTTTATTTCGTTCACTCATTAGTCTTCAACCAAAAATAGAAAAAAAAAATTCATAAAAATCTCCTAAAATGTACTAATTCCAAATAAAATCGAGCCCTAAAAAGTTTATGCAAGAAATCAACCTTGAGTAAATCAATAACAAATAAACTAAACTCACACACAGCCTTCTTCACTAAAGTCCAACAATATCGTGTAATTAAAATTTTAGTTATGTTTATTCGGGGAGTGTGAATGAAGGATGAATCAATTTTTACAATTTAGAAGAATGATCCGCGGTAATTGACATATATTAATTTAAAAAATATCCTAACTTTCTAATTTATTTTAAAATAATACTTTTAGAATTTGCATTGGACTAATTTCTCCCACCTCACCAACTTATCCTCCCTCCATCATCTTGAGTTGCATAACAACAACTTCTCTAACACAATTTTGGTGGAGATTCATTGTATGATTGCGATTTCTATACTTGAATTCCAATAGCCTTCACATAACCATTTCCCATCTTAAAGCCGTTGTTCTTTGCTTCGATTCCATTAATATTCAATGGAACAAAACTCATGGTACCATTTCATTTAATTTTTTAAAGTTAGATTTTGTATAAATCATAAATGTTTAATTAGTTAAATTGACTTTTTTAATTGGATTGTTTTAAGATTTTGTTAGATTTTTCTTAAAACCGATCTTTAGATTCTAATTTAAATTATTGCTTTTTCATAAAAGAAGACCGTCAAAACAACACCGTCTTTTCAAAAGATGACATGCTACAAATTTTAAAAAAGAATAATTACAACATATCGACATAACTGCTGAAGTGGACAAAGTCATCCATTATCTTATAAATAAAATTTGAAGTGAGAATATTTTCAAAATTAGCTCTGTAAATAGTAATATTTAAAAAAAAATCACATGTATATAATGGTATATTATATATGTGTAATCACGTGGAGTTCACGTGCAGCTCAGCTTATCTTGTGTATCCACGGGCGGGCCACGGCCAAAGCCTTCACGGGCACGTTCTGGCCACACACTTGGCATCATCCAACTCACGCTCGCCTTATTCCTTCGCCCCAAATTTCCCAATTCCCCAAAAAAACAATCCTTCGATCCCCAATATTCCGGCTTCCACGTCACTGTTCACCGGAGTAACCCTCCGCCGGCGATCATCGTTGCCCCATACGGTGACGTTTTGAAGCAATCCGATGGAATGGAACATGGGTGCGATTGCGATTGCCACGACGGGCCCCCACTTGTTGGCTTTTGCCCACGAGTTTTAATCGTGGAAGCCACAACAATTTTGGGCTCTGCAAGAAATTTGATCTTTCAGGAGCAGTCAAATTTGGGGATTTCAATTTAACCGAGGTGAGGACGACCTCGACCACGACGCCTCACTGAGCTCTTTATTCTTTTCACACATGGCGATTGTTTGTTTGGGGCTTTTATTAGTGTCCTGAATTCGGTAACGAGAACGGAGAGCGCTCGAGTTTTTCATTCTAATTCTACCCATTTTTTGAAATTAAAGAAAAAGGAAAAGTGAACTGTCGAGTCCTAGAGAAAAAGAAAGGAAAGCGAGTGCGATGCCCACTGGCAGTTTCTTTCTTTTCCTCCATTGACGATAAAGTTTCGAGAAGGAGGGATTTGTGAGCGAAATCCAGAAGTGAGGGGAAAATTTTTTAGTAACCCACATCGTAAAAACTCTGTAATCCCCACTGCATACTGTTGATTATCCAATCATGCATCCCGATGATCGGCAGGAGCAACCGTTGTTACCGGAAGAAGAAGAAGAAGAAACTGCTTATGATTTGAGGGAGAAGGTTGTGGTTATTGGGATCGACGAATCGGAGGCCGATTCGGGAGTGGGTGTCCCGCCGTTTTCATGGAGGAAGCTCTGGCTGTTCACCGGGCCAGGGTTTTTGATGAGCATAGCGTTTCTGGACCCTGGGAATTTGGAGTCCAATCTTCAGGCGGGTGGGATTGCTGGGTATTCTCTGTTGTGGCTTCTGTTTTGGGCTACGGCCATGGGGCTTCTGATTCAGCTGCTCTCGGCCAGGCTTGGCGTCGCCACTGGCCGGCACTTGGCCGAGCTCTGTAGAGAAGAGTATCCAACTTGGGCCAGAATGGTGCTGTGGGTCATGGCGGAATTGGCCCTCATTGGGGCTGATATACAGGAAGTTATTGGGAGTGCCATTGCCATCAAGATTCTAAGTAATGGTGCTTTGCCTCTCTGGGCTGGAGTCATCATCACTGCTCTAGATTGGTAACTTTTCTTGTTTACTCTCTTCTCAATTTGAGTTCCTTGTATGATGCTTAAGAGTTTCCCCAATTGAAAGTGTTATGTTGATTCTTGTCAGTTTTATCTTCCTGTTCCTTGAGAATTATGGTGTGAGGAAATTAGAGGCTGTTTTTGCTGTCCTTATTGCCACAATGGCTCTCTCTTTTGCTTGGATGTTTGGGGAAACTAAGCCAAATGGGAAGGAGCTTCTATTGGGTGAGGACTCAGGAGTGTTCCCTCTCTTTTCTTTCATTGTGTTTTGTAACTGTTGAATCAGTATTGTCTTTGCCTCTAATACAATGGCCAATATTGAACCTTGTTCACAGGTATTTTGATTCCGAAACTTAGCTCCAAGACTATAAAACAGGCTGTTGCTGTTGTTGGATGTATCATTATGCCTCATAATGTGTTTCTGCACTCTGCCCTTGTGCAGTCGCGAGATGTTGATCCGACCAAGCGAGGACGGGTTCGAGAAGCTCTCAGATACTACTCCATTGAGTCCACTCTAGCCCTTCTTGTCTCCTTCATCATCAACTTGTTTGTTACAACTGTGTTTGCTAAAGCTTTCTATGGCACAGACATAGCGAAGAGCATCGGTCTCGTGAACGCAGGCGAATACCTTCAAGATAAATATGGTGGAGGACTTCTCCCCATTTTGTACATCTGGGCTATTGGTTTGTTAGCTGCCGGCCAAAGTAGCACCATTACTGGTACATATGCAGGACAGTTTATCATGGGGGGATTCCTGAACTTGAAGTTGAAAAAATGGCTAAGAGCTTTGATTACTCGAAGCTTTGCAATCGTGCCGACTATGATTGTTGCTCTAGCATTTGAAACTTCCGACTCGATGGTCGACGAATTGAATGAATGGCTCAATGTCCTCCAGTCAATTCAGATCCCTTTTGCTCTCATTCCTCTTCTCTGTTTGGCTTCTAAGGAACGTCTAATGGGCACTTTCAGAATTGGCCCTGTTTTAAAGGTATGTTTCTTTCTTTACTATCTTCACTATTGCAACGTTTATGCTATACAGTCTATTGCCATGGAATGATCTAATAACTTGGTCACAACTTTGTTCTTTCTTTTGATTTCAGAGTACAATTAGTTTAGTCACTGGTCACCGTGTATAATCAGTTTCATGTTTTAGAATTAATGGATGATGGCTTTGTTGCTTTCATTAAATTTGAACCCAAAAGGTTAAGCAGACTTCCTAAGTTGTAGGTCAAGGCACGAGACCCACCAAGTGGCTATCGGTATATTGATTAGGAGGAAATGATATAAACAAGTTTGAACACGAGATCTTTGGTTCTAATATCATATTAGTTCACCACCAAACTCAAAACCTTAAACTAATAAATTATGGTACGTCTAATCTTTTATACGTATTCTTCACAGCAGTCGAAGAAATTTTAGCCATATTAGAATGGAAGACACCCTTATAATAGATTAGCAAGTCCTTGGCCATCCTCCTTGCTGCTGTTAGTGTTTTAGGCAAAACTTCCATAGCTTCTAATTCTCTTATTGTTCAATATAAATAGTTTGGAAATAGAACAACATTTGCAGTTCAATTACTCACATCTCCTTCTGCCCTTTCAGATATCCTCTTGGCTGGTGGCAGTCTTGGTGATGGCCATTAACGGGTATCTTCTGGTGAGCTTCTTCTCATCGGAAGTGAACGGAGCATTCATCGCCACTTTCATGATCGTCTTCATTGCTGCGTACCTTGCCTTTGTTGTTTACCTCATCTTTCAAAGTATTTCGTTTTCAAGTTGGCATGACTTCATAAGCCGGAAGACTTGCACAGACACTGGGAACTGAGTGATCATCTCCTACCTTGACTTATTTAGTAGACTACCGATCGACCTTCGTCGAATAACTGTCTCATCATCGACCATCTGTTGAAATGAAATCAGAAAACTCTTCCCAGGAGTAACATATATATCAGTTAGTTGAAAGATATAGTTATGATTTGGAGAAAAGCTGTTATGTGGTTAATTTTGTATGATAACTGTTCATTTTTCTGTTGTATACAGTGAAATGAAGAAAGATTGTAGGCTGCAGCCTGAAACCTGGTAGCTGATTTTAAGTTCTGTTGTTTTGATAGTTTTCTAACTTTACCCAATTTCCAAACTAGGTAATATTAATGTTATTTAAATGTTCTGAAGTTGCTTCCCAAAGTTGAACTTAAATTAACTCTTCACTCTGCTGATCGCTAAAGACTGATGGTAAATCATTAAATCATACTTTGTAGTGGCCTATTCAAATTTGAATCTATGGCTTTTTGGGTAGCTTACTAATAAGTTTTTTTTCCATAATAATACTAATAAGTCAAAATATGCTTAGGTTTACCGTCAAAAACTAAATACTAAGCTAAGTAAATGATCAATATTACTTGTAATGGCCGACATGAATATATTTTAGTGGTAATTGGAAATTGTGTCATGTTTACAGTTTTTTATTTTTTAATTTTTTGAGATTTTAACTATGGTTTAATAGCTGCAAAGTTTTTCATTTTGTTTAGTACAAGAAATCAATTTAATCAACATTTTGTTTAGTACAAGAAATCAATTTAATCAATAAGGATAGATGGACAAAAAATTGTGTCATGCTTACAGTTTTTTAATTTTTTAATTTTTTGAGATTTTAACTCTAGTTTAATAACTGCAAAGTTTTTCATTTTGTTTAGTCCAAGAAATGGGGGTTGGGATTTGAATTCACAACCACTGGATCGAAAATGAGTGCTTTAAAGTTATGTTCATAGTGGTAAAAGTTTTCAATTTAATCTCGAGTATGCTGACATGTAACATATATATCCAATAATATGGATAACTTCTAAGTTACTTTCATCACGATTCAATCTATAACTTATATCTTCAAGAACATATATATATTTCAGGTTTTATTTATTCATTTCCTTAAATTAGTTAATGAATTATATTGCCTTTTGAGTAAAATATATAAATCCATTTTGAATTAATTGTTTAATTGGAATTTGAAATTGATTTTTTTTTAAATCATTTAAACTTAGAGTTGTATTTTGTGAGTGATTTTGGCATATCCAAATCACTTTCCTTTGATCATGTTTGGTAAATTAAAAAATTAATTTTAAGAAAATTTAAAATCACTTTAAATCGATTTTAAAGGTACCTATGATCGTAATTTTGAAAAATCAATTATACTTATTTCTGTTTTTTCAAAATCACTCATTCCACCATCCCTCTCAAACACATTCTCAGTGTGGACTTTTTTTTCTTTATCACTTATTAATATCTCTCGATATTACCTTTCCTGATTTTTGACAAATATATAGGTTTCAAAATATATTTCTTTATTATTTTATTATTCTTTGGAGAAATTATACGGGTTTAAATACTATTTTGGTTCTCTTTAGTTCATTTTAGCCCATGTCCTTTCAAAACGTTTATTTTTTTCATGTACTTTTCAAAACATCTATTTTAGTCAATATACTTTTATAAATTGAATATTTTAGTCCATTCATTTTCATTTTATCTCATTTTTCATAATATTTTTAGCATGATATTTCACTCACTAAATTTTTTAGATGTAACAATAAATTTCTATTAAAGAGTTTTCATTGTATACAAAATTTGTGTTCAAATTTTAGAAATAAAAATCAAATTGATCACTTTTTAAAAATACATGGACTAAATAGACGTTTTGAAAATACATGAACTAAAGTGAATAGAATTGAAAACTGAAAGTATAGGAACCAAAATAATATTTAAATTATTCATGTATAGACACACTTTTGGAACTAATATATATACATATATAGTACAATACGTGGGGCGGGATCAAATTTATAATCTCTTAGTTGTAAATTGATGTTAATTAGTGTTGATGCTCACTTTTGTCAAAATATATATATATATATATCTTTCTTTTATCATGGATGAAACGACCGAAAATTACATAAATTTATCTATGCGTGACAAATAAGTGCACTGAGAGGAAGACGTAAAAAAAAAATAAAAATAAAAATAATAGTCCAACTTTTATATATACTTGGTCTAATCAAATGCGATTAATATCACAAATGTGATTCTTTTCTCAATTTTCGAATTAATTAAATCAAATCAAACTTGACTGTGCCCAAATTTTCTCCATAAAAAGAGAAAAAAAAAACTAAATTCAAGTAGGAATTAGTCCATCTACTGATGACATCTAAGAAAATATGAAAATTCGGACGGAGTGTTTTTTCTTTTGAATTTATTATTATTATTATTATTATTTTAGATTGGACGAAGATTCTTGCTTAATTAGATTTTTTTTTTTGATAGATGCTTAATTAGATAATTGACAAGAGAGAAGAGAAGTTTCCAAAAGTAACGTTAGAGTTTGTGCACTAATAAAGTATTACAATTAAAGAAGTACATATTGAATGATCTAAAATAATAAGCTCTTCAACTTTTTAATTGTTGTCTAAAAAAAAAACGTTTTAATTGTATAATACTATGATTATTAGTTGTACAATAGGTTAATTATAAATTGTTGATTAAATAATAAATCATTAGTTATTTTATAACGTCTAATTATGATGTGTAGTCGTACTCAAAGTGAAAAAAAAAGTTATGATGTGTATTCAATTATGATTTGTAGTTATTTGAGCTGGTCTATTATATAGATAAATTAACTAAATTTGAACCTAATTAAATTGGTTAAGACATATTATAGCATCGACTAAAAGATTAGAGGTTTGAATTTTTATCCCACATACTAGGAAGAAAAAAGAATGCTGTCTCTCACACATGATGATTCTTGCGTCAATAGACAATTTTCTAAAATTGATAAAAACTTTCGCGTTGATATATCTAATATTAAACATATCAATGGTATATTAATATTAGTCAGTTATCTATCTATATATATATATATATATTTTAGTACAACATGTGGAAATGGTATTTGAACTCACAATTTCTTGGTTGGATATATATGTAATTACCGTTGAACTATGCTCGCTTTGACAGGTATATCAATTATATTAGTGATATGTCTAAAATAAAGTATATCATTGATATCTTCAGTCTGACTAATACTTCATATTAGTGTTATATATTAATTATTACTTCATATTAGATATATCATAGTAATAATAGATATATTAGTAATATATGTGCATATACTTAGTATTTTGTATATTAGCTGTATGATTATGTTAGACCTAAAATGAAATTTATTACTAATATATATCAATAAGAAACTAATACGTATTTAGACCAAAATCTTCCACTCAATGAGTATTTGACAGTGATATACCTAATATGAAGTATATTATTCACATATTTAATGTGACAAAAATACTTCGTATATATTAGATATATCAGTTAGTGATATACTTTAGATTTAATATATCAATTATGTAATTCGCATCTATCTAATATCAAGTATCTTGATATATCAACAAGAAACCAAAAATGATACTTAAACCAAAATATTCAAATTGGAGAAAATTTATCAATGATATGTCGTTTTTTTTTTTTTGAGTACTATCAATGATATGAAGTATATAATTAATATATTTTGTGTGACTGATATAATTCATATGAGATATATCAATTATATCAGTGATATAATTAGTATTCAATAACTCATAGACTACTTCAAAAAAAAAATTTGATATACTTAATATTAAATATATGAGTGATATATATTCTTCATGGTCATGTATATCAATTTTAAAAAATAACCATAGGAAAAGTATAATAACAAAACAAATGATTTTTAAAAATTTTCAATTTCTGCAGAAAAAAAATTGTTGGTATATTTCTAAATATGACAACAAAAAAATGCTATTCATAAAAAATACCCGATTCTTTTGATCTCTAATATATATATTATATCCATATCAAAACATCGTTCATTTTAATCTTCCCTCATTTATAATTGTATTTTTCTCTTCTAAATCGCAATTAATGTTAAACTAATGATATCGGTCCATTGGTTCTGATTCTTGTAATTAATTATTTTAGCTTTTGTACTAAAAAAACTAAAGAACTATTTTCTCTCTCTTATTTTCCCTCTCCTACCTCTATATATTTGATGATTGAACTTTCCCACCAAAAGGAGAGAAACCAAAACCAAGTACTGGAGTGACCATAGAAATGGAATTTCTTTTGCTTTCTATTCTCTCTTCTCTCTTCTCTCTTCTCATTGTCTTAAGCTTTCTACCGCGACCTCGTCGCGGGAACCTACCACCAAGCCCGCCTTTCGCTCTTCCATTGATAGGTCATATCCATCTCGTCAAACATCCCGTCCATCGAACGTTTCACAAAATCTCCAAAAAGTTCGGACCGATTTTCTCTCTTCGATTCGGTTCACGTCTCATTGTAGTTGTATCATCTTCTTCTGCCGTGCAAGAATGCTTTACAAAGAACGATATTGTTCTTGCAAATCGGCCAATAATGAAGAGTGGGAAGTACTTAGCATACAATTACACCACCTTGGGGTCCTCCCCTTACGGCGAACATTGGCGAAACCTCCGTCGAATCAGCGCCCTCGAGGTATTGTCGACAAGTCGTCTTAATTCTTTCGTGGGAATCCGAGAAGATGAGATTAAACGTTTGATGCATAGATTATGCGGCGATTCTTTGGAAGAGTTTGCAGTGGTGGAAGTGGAGCCATTGTTTTTAGATCTTACGTTTAGTATTGTCATGAGAATGTTGGCTGGGAAGAAGTATTATGGGGACGACATGTCGGAGGATTCGAGGCAATCGAGGAAGTTTAGGGAGGTGGTGACACAGATTCTAGCTCATGCTGTGTCGTGGAATCCAGGAGATTTCATTCCCATGTGGAACTTGATTGATCCAAGTGGTTTGGAGAAGAGGATAATGAAGCTTGGACAGAGAGCTGATGAACTCTTTCAAGGATTAATTGATGAGATTCGGAATCAGAACAATGGAGGAAACACCATGATTGACCATTTACTTGGCTTGCAAAACACACAGCCAGAATATTATAGTGATCAAGTTATCAAAGGCATTATTCAGGTATGTTTTCCATCAATGTCAATTTCTTGCCTTTTTTATAATCTTTCTTCTCTTTCTCCCCGTCTTTCGTATTGTCAAGGATCCCACGTTGGGAAGAGAATGGACCTTATAAAGGTTTATAATCGACATGTGTTACTCCTCTCGTTTCCATTAGTTTTGAGATGGAACCACATCAATATTGATATGGTATTAGAACCCAAAATGCTCAAACGAGCATCTGGTCTAAAAATGAGATTCGACCAAGATCGATGAGCCAAAAGAGCCACGATCTTGAGGGGCATGTTAACAATTGGTTTTGAGACGGAACCCCATTAATATTGACACGTATAGTCCTAAAAATTAATGCTCATTTCATGTAGGATATAATATTAGCAGGGATTGACACTTCAGCAGTGACCATAGAATGGGCACTATCTCATCTGCTAAACAATCCAGATGTTTTAAAGAAAGCAAGAACTGAGATAGATTATTGCATTGGACAAGAGCGTATGGTAAATGAAGCTGATTTATCGAGTTTGAGTTACCTACAAGGAATAATCTCCGAGACTCTACGGCTAACTCCCACAGGTCCTATCCTCATCCCACATTGTGCATCTGAAGACTGCAAAGTAGAAGGTTACGACATTCCACGTGACACCATTGTATTGGTGAACGCTTGGGCTATACATAGAGATCCAAATTTATGGGAAGATGCTAAAAGTTTTAAGCCGGAAAGGCATACAAATGCAATAAGACCTAACACATATGAACTACTCCCATTTGGTGTTGGAAGGAGAGCATGTCCTGGCATGGGAATGGCACAACGAGTAGTTGGCTTGACTTTGGCATCTTTGATTCAATGTTTTGAGTGGAAAAGAGTGAGCAGCTCACTAGTTGACATGACTGAAGGTGAAGGAACAACTATGCCAAAAGCTCAACCATTGATTGCCAAGTGTAAACCACATCCAATCATGAAAGTTATTCTCAGCAAAAATAATTGACCAACATGAGCTCGAGGTTTTCTTTGTCACTCCCAAAACTTCTTCGTTTTCAAAGGAACTAGACTTTGGACGGGTCAACCCTCTTTTTTATGTGCCGCTTTACGATTAAAGAATATTTGAAAATAGATTTCCAAAAACTAGTAAAAGGATGTAACTATGAATATTCTGATTTTGAAATAATGGAAACTATTACATATGCGTGTATGTAGAATAGAATAAATTATAGTTGTAATGGAAGTTAAGTTTGTTTGTGTGATTTTGATGTATTACAAATAATTCAAATATATTTTACGAGTTGATAAATTCAAAATAATTCATATCCATTTGATGCTGATACTAATTTTAACTTTTCATTTAAATATTTTAGTTTATAAAAAAATTATACTGATGTATTTCTTTCCTTGTTCTTTTCACTTTTCAAAAACAATTTTGAAAATCTTAACCAAAATTTAAAATTAGAAACAAAAAACTAAAAGCCAAAGGGAGTATAGTTGTATAGCGATTGACGTGTATCTATATGACCAAGAGGTCACAAGTTCGAAATTCCACCCCACACGTGTTTTATTAAAAAAAGAAACAAAAAATTAAAAACCATTTAAAACAATTGGATCTCACTGCCGCATCTTGAACGATGTCGGATCTTGCCGCTAGGCTTGCCTTGGATGTGGATCTCACCACTAGGGACGTTAGGCTCACCATGGATCTCGCTACTGAAGATACTGGGCTCGCCGTCGGGGATGTTAGGCTCCATTTAAAACAATTGGATCTCACTGCCGCATCTTGAACGATGTCGGATCTTGCCGCTAGGCTTGCCTTGGATGTGGATCTCACCTCTAGGGACGTTAGGCTCACCATGGATCTCGCTACTGAAGATACTGGGCTCGCCGTCGGGGATGTTAGGCTCGCCATGGACGTTGTTGTTCGTGGATATATGTGAGAGTTGAGAGAGGGAGTTCAAAAAGAGAAAGATAGGGAAAAATAGGGGGAAAAGAAAGAGAGGGGAGTGGGGTAAAGAGAGGAAAAAAGAGGCAGGCGAATGAAAATTTAAAAAATATCAGGACTTTTCCCAACGTTTTTTGAATAACGTAAAAAAAAAGAACAAGAGGGGGAAAAAGATAAAAATAAAAAAAAAGAGTGGGAAAAAGAGGCGGGTGAATGAAAATTTTAAGAAATATCGGGACTTTTCCCAGACGTTTTATTACAATGGTCGAGAAAAATCAAACTTACCGTGACATTTTTAGATGCGTCAGGAGAAGTGATTTTTTCCGACGTTTTTTTGTGCGTTGAAAAAACCCAACTTTCTTGTAGTGTGGATATACTAAAAAGAAAAGTAAATTAAAAAGAATGAAGAGAGGTCTAGGGTTTCAACCTTTATTGTTCAAATATAAAGTGATAAGTAAAATATTGTCTCTTATTTCTTACTAAATCTTTCTCAAGCATTTAGCAAACAGTTCTGTAAGTCAATTGCTACGTCTCTGTGAAATTTTGAACCTATCGAAAATCTTTAAGCTTGGGAGATTCATGAATGCTACGCAAGAATTCGTAAACATCTGTCTTACAATGTGACCTATGACTAAATATTCGAGGTTTTATTCAACTCTCTATCTCTCAATTTCAAATTGAATATAAAATCATGTCGTTGGTGATTAAGCAACTACAAACATTAACTACAAACATTACCATCAGAATGTTAACTCAACGAATGGAAATAACTTAGTTAATCATAGATACATGAAGCCCAAGAGTTCATAGCTTTGGCTACATTGTGTCATAGAAATGAAATCTAACACAAAACTAAGCTAAAATATAAAAAAACAATAATCAAAACGGTAAAGAAATGGTTCCCAAGAGATAACTTAGGTAGCTCGGGACCTCAAAGAAAATATCCTTAAGGTCTTTCAAAAATGAGAAATTTATAGGCCTGGAGGTCGTCGCGCACTGAATCTTGCGTTTTCAAAATCTCCGCTTCAAGGTTTGAGAACACCTAGGCATTGTAATTTTTTCCTCCAAATTGTTTTTTTTTTCTTTTTTTTGCTTAGAAAACCTCTAATGTGGCTTCCAAAGACTAATCAACCGTCACCTACAAAAATAAATGAAAACAAAGAAACAAAAGAAAATATAAAAATAATTAAAAAAAAAAATTTAAAGGAAACAACCTAAACTTTGATATGATAAGTAAATTCAAATACCCATAAACTTAATATTTAATTTATTCGTCCTCAAGCAAAACAAAAAATAAAACTTACAAAACAAGCAAATCTCAAAAGCAAGAATATCAAAATAAAAGAGAAGTACAAAACACCTAGTAATAATGTCTACAATCCTAACTTATTTAAAATTTCTTGTGTGTGGGCGCTTAGCTTCACACTTTGGTAATCTTTCAACTTAGAGAAGCTTTATACATATAATCCTCTACTCATGTTATAATGCCACACTAAGTCTTATTTACTTCATTGTTTAAATGACATGAGAGAACAGTAGCTTATTACACAACCATTGCAGAAGTCTTTATCCCAATATTTCATATCCTTTGTCTACTAGTCAAGCTTGCAGATTTAGATTGCTCGAGACTGACTCTAACTAATCACAATGGAGGTAGCTTTTTCCGTCATCACCAATTTTTCTTCTCTCTTGTTTATGAATTCAGTCAAACCAAATTTAAAGATAGTAGCTTTCACACAACCATTGCAGGAGTCCTTACTCTCAGTACTCACCTACTCAGATTACTCAAGAATCATTCAAACTGATCACAAAGGTAGCTCTTTCTGTTTTATTTTCTATTTTTTTAGAACTCACTGCTACAAATATGGGTTTCGATGTCAGTTAAAAACTGTCATTAACTAAATTCGTGCCATTTTATAACTGTCATGAATTAAGCCATCGAGAAAGAGGGGAACATGACAACTTTTGAAAAATTGTCATTAATGCAAATGACAGTTATAATTTGTCACGAATGGATCTCCTACCACAATTTAAAAAACGTCACAAATATCTCATTTGATGACAGTTTATAATTGTCTTTGTTCTACCGTCAATAAAAACTTAATTCTGACAATGTATAATTGTTATGTGTTGATGCTTAGATTTTGGCCTTCCCGGTTCTCTCCAAAATGCGCACCAAACTCGATGATCAAGGGACTGAATACTTGTAAAAACGAGTAACCCTAAACCGGTGTGACTTCTGTCACACGGGCTCCGATGCCTAAGTTAGCTATAGGAGGATCACTAAGCAACTAAAGTACTTGAAGTATAATTCAACTTACCTTCAATGGGGGGTTCCCTCTCTATTTATAGTTGATCTTCCTCGGGTTTTTCCGAACTCCAACCCCAGGTCATCTCCAGATACTCGAGCTTACTGGGTCGTGATACTTTCGGGCCCTTTAATCGATGTTTGGGCCCGAACATCGTTTGACTGGTACTGGGAGAGAGAGAGAGAGGTGTCGAGAACCTTCTCGACCTAAAGCCGAGAAGGGCTCGACACTGAGGTGGGGTCGGCTCTTACATGGGTCGGCCCTTATGTTTTGGGCCGGCCTCAATCCATCGGTGGTCTTGGTTCTTCCTTCTTCTTTTACAGTCCAATCTCTATTCTCATATGAACCGTATTGTTCCATACATTTTATAAACATCACGAAAAATATGTATAACGATAATTTAAAAATGTCATAGAATATTTAATAATGACATTTTTTAACAATCACGGAAATTAATATAGTAACAATTTAATTTTTTGTAACGTAATTTTATAACTATCACGAATCTTTTAACTATAACAATATTCGTATCACAATTTGTTTTGAACAAAAGTTATCAATAGTCCAGAAATATTCGATAATGACAATTTTCATTTGTTATAAAAAGGTTTTCAATAACATTGTTTTAGTGTCACGAAACATATTTGGTTAACTTTTATAATTATTTAGGGTACTCCTATAAATGTCGCAACTATTGAAATAGTGATCTTTTTTTTGACATCACAAATTTTAACTATTTTAATGGTGGAATAAACCTGTCCTGACATGTTTTTTCAAGATGTCATTTTTCACATACCTAGTACCGGTAAATTTTACGTATTTCACATTCATACAAAAACACACACATATATAGAGGTATGCAAACCAGGAAGCTGTCATATATATATATAAACAAAATATCCATACATAACATATACTAAGTATTGACAAAACATAAACAAACTATATTCACAGGTACATCAACCTCGTATACATAAACCAACTATTTTAAAAGTACATAAAACATGTATTCACGGCTAACCCAACAAAAATGGCCTAAAAGTCACATAGTTGCAATCAAAGTTCTCTAGGGAACTTCTCGCAAGACCCAAGCAATAAAACAATATAAATATTTCTCCATAACATATAGTAATTGGACCGTCATAGCATGTATTTAATATATTGTCATTCTATGAAATAAGAATTAAAACTCCATACACATTGAAAGTACGCCAAAAAATTTTCCTTTACATCCTCGTTTCTCAAACCTTTGCTCCCATGAGTACTCCAACATATCGAAAACAAACAATTAAAAAAATATTAATATGAACTCTCATATTAGTTTATCCACAATAAATAATTGCACTCTAACAAACGTGCTTCTCACAAATCATAAGAGGTATTTCAGCTCAACGATATGTACAAATTTTTCATCATATATCAATTAAGTATCATTCTTTAGGTTCATGTATGAGAAATACTAATTTGAACCATGTATGACCACAACAATTATAAAATTCTTTCTTGAACATCTTTCATTTCTCAAAATATTGATCCCACAAATTATTCTTTCAATAAAATAAAATGAACAATTAAGAAAATCACACTCTAATCAGCATGTTTTCACAAATCAGAATACATGTTTCGGCTCAACGATAAAGTACAAATCTCTCATGAAACATCAACTGTGCAACATTAAAACAGTGCAATAATATATGTATGAGAGGGACCAATTTGTTATCCAATTTGGAAAGTTATCTGAGTTAAATATTTGTACAGAACATATTAATTGGGAAGGGGTTAAATTACACTATCTAGCTAACATACTAACGTATTAGAGGTTGGGAGGGTTGCTGTAAAACATTATTAGCATAGGTTGATCTTAACATATTAATTGGGAGGGGAGTGTTTGAAATGAGATATGATACTCTTTCAGTTTGTCGGAATCATGGTTCTAAACTTCTTTAAATTTCTGCAATAGGTAAAGAAGAAAACAATGTCGAATTAGTATTGCGCCCCTCTACTTGTCAATTAGAGGGTCGAGTGCAAGTGCACGCTGTCACGAGTAATAATTGGAAGTACCCTAAGTTCGTCTCGACATATTAGTTTTCTTTTCAAATAAATTTACAAATCGATTGAAAGTGCAACCAAGTTTAGGATAAAATAGTTGAGATTGTTTTAGAAGCACTATTTAAAAGACAAGGAAAAGAGAATGTAGAAAGTCAACTCACCTAATCTAGGTGCATCTGCCTCACATTTTGAAAACCGGTTCGACTAGTATTCTAAACCACTTTTAGTTGTTTAGGAGCTTAGACTAGCATTTAGATATGTCTATGAAATATTAGAATCCTAAATAATTTGAGATTCAACTTTCATTTAACGAGTAAGAGATGCAACGTTTAGATTCTTATTTTAGTACTTTATTTCTAAAGTTACTGTCCATTTTATTTTGATGAAATCCATTTTAATATAACTTGTACTAGACTCAAACTAGCATGATTAAACAAGTGTCCAAAAAGTAAATGAACTATGTAAATTTAATCAATTAAGATAAGTAATGTAAACGTAAACGTCATGCTTACTGATAGTTTCAATTTGATAAAAGGTAATTTAGCTACTCATCGAAATGGAATAAACGAAATCACAAAGAAAATTAACAAAAGAATTCATTTCACTAAATTTGGAGATAAGCAACAATAAACGTTTTAAAGATAAAGATGCAAGAAATTGAAACAACAAAATAAATGGAAATCGTTCTTAAAGCTAAAATGCAAACTAAAGGAAAAGTAAGGAAATTGAAACGTTGGAGGACTGAATTGTGGCAGCTCATTCTTATGGAAGTTCTTAAATTGCTTCTCAATTTATAGCCACGGTGGAGTAGTTGGTTCGAGGAGAAAATGGTTAGCAAATTTGTGGACGTGAGTCTGACTTTGCTTGCTCTAAAAAAATGTCTAAACTTGGCATGAGAAATCTTGAAATTACTTGATCAACACGAACAGTTAAATACACCGTTTTGTAGTCTGGAGCAGGAATGCACCTAGCACGTATACGTGCCAGTGTAGGATTCTTGTGAGCTGATGCGTCTCGCACATTTCAATATGCACAATCTACTGTTTTTCATGTAAAAACACACACATAAAGTACCATTTGTCTTTTATTTACTAAAGTGTGCTCTCCACGTCATATATTACAAATATTAATATATATAAAAGTACCGATGTGAAAAAACTTTTTTCTTGGACGATTTAAAATTAATACATAAATTATCATCATTATATCATTATTTAAAATCACCCCGGTTGTTCTCCTCTTCTTTTAAGGGTTTCTTTCTCTCTTTTTTTTTAATCTTTTTAATGCCTTCATTTAAGTTTCTTTATTAATTAATGAATTTATGTTTAAGTATATTCAATAATGGAACTTGAAAAGTTATATTATTTTAGTGGTTAAATAATGGTTAAAGGAGAAAGTATAAAAATATATTTAAATTAGTAATCACGTGCATCCATAAAATTGAAATGAAAAAAAAGTAAAATTTATAACTATAGAAAATAGATTGCCAACATGAGTTTAACTCAGCGTTATCGACACCAATCTCTAATCAAAAAGTCATGAGTTCGAATCTCATACGTTACTTGATGTGCTAAAAAAAACTATGAAAAATAGATTTAAAAACTATCCAATTAAGAAAAATACTTTAATTTAAATCATAAAATGTAGTTTTGGAATTTCAAAAAATTTACAATTCTTCCCTTCCCTGCAACTCTAAAACGACTCATTTTCACTCATTTCATATAACAATTTGAGATATATGTTTTTCATTTCCCATCAACACTTTCACTTCAACCTAAATGTTGCCAACAACGATACCCTTACCATTATCATAATGATGAACTAAAACCACAATTTTCTAAGTTGTATGGTTCCATGAGCCGCGCCCATCAAGAATTGCATCTTCTCATATATCCATATTGTCGAACATGGAAAGTTTATGAGGGAGTACATTAATTAAGACGATATATAATTAAAGGCGTGAGAAGTAGACCCTATTCCTCTTTAAGAAAATGCGTCGCTCCACGGAGAAAATAAAAGAAAAAAGACAAAGCAAAAATTTTCATTAGTCTACTTCGTTTCCATTATTAGTCATCTGGAACTTCTAATTGACATCAAAGCATATACATGTGTTTTTTTAGTACAACAAATTTGGGATTAACATACACGGTTACTTACCATTAAAGGGTAAATGCAAACATAACAAAAATTAATTACATCCCTTGTCTTTTACGTAAGAATTTTGTATTTTCTTTTTAAGTCGTAACAATTTTGTTTAATTTATTTTCCTTACGAACTAAGATAATTAGTCTCCCAATCAAACTTCTTTATTATACATGCCTTTACCGACGACAAATAATTATTGTATAAAATATAAATAGTGTGTGACAAATGGATGCACCTAGTGGAAAAACATGTAAATTATTTTTAAAAAAATATCCAACATTATATTTTTTAATGATTAGTCAACTTTTGAGCTGTGAACATAGCTCAGATGGGAGTCCTTTTCCCAGCTTTCCATTCAAACTTGGCTGCACCCAAAATTTCCTCTCCCATTCTTTCCCCTTGGCAGAACCCATATTTACACATGCATCAAATTCAACTTCTCTGATCAGCAACACCAAAAGGAGAATGGACATTCTTTTGCTTTCCATTTCTCTCTCTCTCTTCTCTCTCTTCATCTTCTTCCACTTTCTGCTGCGACCCTATCGTCGAAACCTCCCACCGAGCCCATTCTTTCGCCTTCCCCTAATCGGCCATCTCCATCTCGTCAAACATCCTGTCCATCGAACGCTTCACAAGCTCTCGCACAACTATGGCCATGTCTTCTCTCTCCGATACGGCTCACGCCTTGTCGTAGTTGTGTCATCTCCTTCTGCTGTGCAAGAATGCTTTACGAAGAACGATATCGTTCTCGCTAATCGGCCGTTGTTGAAGAGCGGCAAGTTTCTAGCATACAACCACACCACCTTGGCGGTCTCCCCTTACGGCGAACATTGGCGTAACCTTCGTCGAATCAGCACTCTCGAGATTTTCTCGACGAGTCGCCTTAATCTCTTCTTGGGAATTCGAGAGGACGAAGTCAAAAACTTGTTGCGTAAATTGCGCGGTGACTCGCTGCAAGAATTTAGAGCGGTCGAGCTGGACTCGATGTTGTTAGATCATACGTTCAACATTGTTGTGAGAATGATTGCGGGAAAGAAGTATTATGGAGAGGACTTGAGGGATGAGGGGCAATCGAAGAAATTTAGGGAGATGGTGAAAGAAATTCTTGCAAATGGTGGGACAGCAAATTTGGGAGACTTTGTACCCTTATGGAATTGGATTGATCCAACTGGATATGAGAAGAGGATAATGAAGATTGGAGAGAGATCTGATGAACTCCTTCAAGAATTGGTTGATGAGATTAGGAATCAAAAGGATGGAGGAAACACCATGATTGACCATTTGCTTAGCTTGCAAAACACCCAACCTGAATATTTTAGTGACCAAATTATCAAAGGTCTTGCACAAGTATGTTTCTCTCTCTAGTTAGGGAGAATATCGTCTTTATCAATATCTCTATCATATTTTTGTTCTAAAAAATTATCAATTTGATCTCGCAGATTCTATTATTAGCGGGAATCGACACGGCAGCTATAACGTTAGAATGGGCCCTATCTCAACTACTCAACAATCCTGAGGTGTTGAAGAAAGCAAGAGCTGAGATAGATCATTTTATTGGCGAAGATCGTCTGGTTAGCGAAGGTGATTTGTCGAGTTTGAGTTACTTGCAAGGGGTAATCACTGAGACCCTGCGATTGAACCCAGCAGCTCCTTTGCTCGTGCCACACTGCGCCTCTGAAGACTGCAAAATAGAAGGCTATGATATACCGCGTGATACTATTATATTGATCAATGCTTGGGCTATTCATAGAGACTCGAATATATGGGAAGATGCCACTAGTTTCAAGCCTGAAAGACATGCAAACACTATGGGAGGAGTTGATTCATACAAATTGTTACCATTTGGGCTGGGGAGGAGAGCCTGCCCAGGAATGGGAATGGCACAGCGTGTGGTTGGCTTGACTTTGGCATCATTGATTCAATGTTTTGAATGGGAAAGAGTGAACAGTTCATTGGTTGACATGACTGAAGGTGAAGGGCTCACTATGCCCAAAGCTCAACCATTAGTAGCCAAGTGTAAACCACGTCCAATCTTGAAAGCTATTCTTGGTGTTGGTGGCACAATTCATAATATTTGAAAACAAACTTTGAAATTTAGGATTCAAGTCAGCGAAACCTTGCTATATATGTAAAATAGAAAAACTTGGTTGTAATAAAGTTAAGGTTTAAATACTATTTTGATTCATATAATTTCGATTTTGGTTTATCTTCATCTTAATTTCAAAATGTCTATTTTCGTTTTTTACTTTCAACTTTTGTTCATCTTAATTGTCCTCTTGAGATGTTCATTTTGATTCATGTACTTATAAAAAATGGTTATTTTCGTCGCTTTATTTTAGTTTTTATTCGTTCTTTCGATCATGGTATTTTAGCATGACACTTCAACTCACTAAATTTATTTAAATGTAACCATAAATTTGCATTAAAGAGTTTCTATTATTGCGTATAAAATTTGTTCTAAAATTTTTCAAATAGGAATCAAATTGATCACTTTTTAATTAAAATACAAAAACCAAAATGGATATTTTAAAAGTATAGAGATTAAAAAAACGAAAGTTGAAAATACAAAGACCAAAATGAAAATTTCGAAAGTATAGAAACTAAAATGTGAGTCAAAGCCAAAAGTACGGGGACGTGTATTTAAACCTAAAATTAAAGAGTAATAATTTGTTTGTTTTTTATTTTTTTCTTCAGTTTGGTATAGATTTCATCTTTGAATGATACAACTAATTCAAATATTTTCACAATTCTCCAACACTAATCAACCATAGTCATCTTAGAAAACCCAGGGCTTGGAGACCAGTATTTGCCACTCCTTATGAGTTGAATCCAACATTCTCTCAAGTTGGTTTATTTTACTTTTATTTTTATTTTAAGTTTAGTTAATGAAAATTACTTTTACCTGTGTTGAGCAAGCACTTTGATTAGAAGCACTCAATCAGTGTTCTCTCAGGTAACATACATTAAATCCTTTTTGGTTCTATTCAAATGTACTTTTGTTTTACCATCAAACATGATAATTTTGAGGGAGAGAAGTACTATGGGGTATGATAAAAGTATTTTTAGTCATGAAAAAAAAAAAGACTCAAACATATTTTAAATATTTTAATTACTTTTTGTTGTCTAAGAAGTATCATTAAAAAATAACTAGTTAATTCATCATCTACCTTTTTTTCTGCCAAGCTAATATAACTTGTCTCCCAATCAAAATTATATATTATGGTTTATGGATGCTTTCACCAACCAAATATTGTATAAATTTATGATTAGTCAAAAATGTGTATTGGGATTCTTTTTCTCAATCTGCAAACAAGATTAAATTAATCAAATCAAATCAAAATTGGCTGCACCCAAATCCCTAAGTTTTTACTTTCTTTATGCAGGCCCCTTCATACGTTAGCCACCTAAGTTTGAGCTTTGTGAAGTTGGTCATTTTCAGGATCAAACAGTTGGTGTCGTCTGTGGGGATTCATAGTCCAAACTCATATAGCGCGACTCAGCTAGATAATGGTCAAATCCCATAATCCTCCCTTAGTGAAAGCTCATGAAGAAAGAGCTCGCATCGGTCAAAAGGATGAGCTTCCATTAATAGCTCACCTCAACCTTAAGAATGAGCTATCAGATAGCTCATCTTGACCAAAATGAACCTCACAAGATAGTTTACCATGCTTAGGATGAGATTTCATCAAATAGCTCATCTTGACCTCAATGATGAGCTCCCATAAGAGTAGCTCATCTCGGACATCAAGGATGAGCTCCCACCAGATTGCTCATCTCAACCATAACGATGAGCTAGGTAGCTTACCTTGACCTCAATGATGAGATCCTGTTGGAATATCTCATCTCCGCATTAAGAATGAGCTCCCACCAAATAGCTCGTCCCAACCTCAACAATGAGCTATCAGGTAGCTCACTCAGAGCTCAATCTTGAGCTCCCATCAAAATAGCTCTATCTCGGACATCAAGGATGAGCTTCCACCAGATAGCTTACCTTAATTTCAAGGATGAGCTATTCGATAGTCACCTCAACCTCAACGATGAGCTATCAGATAGCTCATCTCGATCTCAATGATGAGCTCCCATCATAATAGCTCATCTTGAACATCAAGGATGAGCTCCCACTTGATAGCTATCAGGTAGCTCACCTCGACCTCAATAATGACCTCCCTGTCAAATAGCTCATCACGAGGGCCAATGGATGAGCTCCCACCAGATTACTCACCTTAGCCTCAAGGATGAGTTATTAGACAGTGCATCTCAACCAAAATGATGAGCTTCCATTAGATAGCTCATCTCGACATGAAGGATGAGTTTTCATCAGACAGCTCACCTAAGCTAAAATGATGAACCGCCATTCGATATCTCATCCAACTTAAATGATGAGTCTCTACGAGGTAATCATGCAAGCCAAAAGAAGAAATTTAAGGCGAGAGTTATTGAAATCTTAGGAGTGACTAACCAAGATTACATCGACTTTGAAGATCGGGGCCACCTAGAGTCAAGACTAAAGAATTAGCTCACAACGAAGCTCACCTCGACCTAACCATAAGCTACCATGAGAGAACTAGCGTAAAGGATGAGGTATCACGACAAAGCTCAACTCAGCATAAACACAAGCTCCACGAGAGAGCTTATGTAAACCTAAAGAATGAACTATGTTGACAAAGCTCACCTCGACCTAACCGCAAGCTCCCATGAGAGAGCTAGCATAAGCCTAAAGGATGAGGTATCACAATAAAGCTCGCCTCGACCTAAATGCAAGCCCCATGAGAGAGCTCGCATAAGCCTAAAGGATGAGCTATCTAGACGAAACTCACCTTGGCGTAAATGTAGCTCCCATGAGAGAGTTAGTGTAACCCTAAAGTATAAGGTATCATGACAAAGCTCACCTTGACCTAAATGAAGCCCTGTGAGAGAGCTCGCGTAAGCCAAAAGGATGAGCTATCTTGATGAAGCTCACCTCAACCTAAACGCAAGCTCCCATGAGAGAGCTCGCGTAAGCCTAAAGGATGAGCTATCATGAAGGAAGGTCATCACCTCCGAACTTTTGAGTTGACCATATCCAAGCTTAGCTCGAAAGTAGGGCCAATGTTAGGTGATAAAAATGACATGGTACGTGGACTAATAAGAGTTAGCTTGGCCATAAAGTTCACCTCAACTATAAGAGCTAGCTCGATCATAAAGCTCACCTCAGCCATGGAGAACTTTCTTGCTTCATAGCTCAGCCACAGATATTGCTCGTCATTGATTCATAGCTCGGCCAACAAAGATGAGCGAGCTATATTACAAAACGACCCAATCTTCTTTTCAACAACAGGTCGTGATTTACGGGATAGTTTTAACCGGTTCTCATTCGCTATTGAAAGCTTAACACCTATAAATAGATCCGCCCGCCTCACTTTTCAGGTATGCAAAACTATTCTCTCTAGAGCAATAGATTGGTTCGAGACCGACTTGAGCGTTGGAACTTTTTACTTTCTCTATGTCGGTTCCCTTCGTACGTCAGTCACCTAAGTTCGAGCTTGGTGAAGTTAGTCATTTTCAAGATCAAACAGATGAGAAAATTTTCAAACTTGCAAAAGGACAAAGATTATTGAAGTGGGATATGACACATAATTCATTCGCCAGTAACAATTTAAAAAATAAATACTATATTAAAGTATTATATATTTGAATTCTTAAAAGAACAAAAACTAAGCAACTATATTAAAGTTATTTAATAGGCATATTAAATTATCTAAAATTATCGGTTTCTTGGTTTCAAGAAAAGGATAATGAAACTTGGACAGAGAGCTGAAAAATTGGAAGGAACAGTATTGTTGATGCGTGGATTTCGGTCCTCCGGTTCACTACCTCGCATCCACCAAACTTGTTGATCCGGGACTAGTACCTGCAAAATCAAATCGAGCTAAA